TTTTTTTTTTTTTGGATAAACTCCTAATGAAAGGTGTTCTGCCAACCCTCGCGGCCATGCGTGGCATTGGTTGGCGTATGAGTGGCATGGATGGCGTATGGGTGACATGGGTGGCGTATTGGTTTACTGCTTGCCTCTAGCTCACCACTGTGGTCCGGGTTCGAGCCCCGCTCAGACTCAGGATCATCAGGATCGTATCATGTGAGTTGATTTTGTTTGTTGTTCTCTCTCTTTCCACGAGGGTTTTCTCCGGGGTCTCCGGTTTCCTCCCTCCATAAAAAGCAACATGTGAGTTGAGTGTTGTATGTTGTAAATATAGGATGTATGGTAGTGCTTGTAGAGAGAGCATCACACGGAAAAGCCCCGCATGGGGAGTGGTTGTTGTAAAATATGAGTTTTATTTTGCATGGTGCCACTTAATTAACAAAAGATTTCTCATCAGCATCCATTGTAAACCGGCCTTCATATTATAGCCATATTGATATTTCTTTAGTTCATAATTGTGAGTGTATGTGAATGCCAAAAAAAAAAAAAAAAACTTTCCAGCCTTCTTAAAACGAAAACGTGCACAGAAAGAAAAAAGAGTACTGAGATTTCAGTGGCTTTGAAATAATAACGTAGAAAAGACGTCACTGCAAAACTGAGGCGTCATAGAGCTTGCGCAGTAAAAACCAGCGAACAAATAAAAACATGTTCGCCATTTAGAAATAAAGGCCACTATTACTAAGATGTCCACCATTGGAATAAAAATATATAACTCATTAGTTATAGTACCAAGGTACTTTATCAAGCGATTATTAGCAACGTAATTTTCATTTAGTTAATTGGTAGCCTGCAAATCCAGACTCTTACAATTTCAAGAGGAAAAATGTCACCTCAGTTTTGCAAATTTTCTCGATTCTGAAATGTGCTGATGGTTGGCAGGGCTATTTTTTTGTTACAGTCAAGGCTATATATTTATCAATGACCGTGATATTCTCATCCTCTTTTACTCCTGAAAATCTCTCATCTTCCAGTTCTTGAATGCTTTCTTCAATCTCATCGTCAGAAAATCGGTGCAGGAACGACCAGAAACGTCCACGAATCATAGAGTACCACCTACTCTTGGCGATCTGGAATGTAGACACCTCATTGCTCACCTCTGTAAATGCGTCATCGCGGTTTTTGAGGTATGGAATGATGTAGTCAAACATCTCTGGTAACTGCCTGTTGTATTGTAGATGAAACTTCGAAAACGGCAAATCTAATCCAGAACACGGTGGCTTTAGTACTAGGAGAACTCCATTCGGTGGCAGGCAAGTGATGATCTGGTCAAGACTTTTTAATTTGTCAGAAAAATGATGAATGGACATAACACTTAGGATCTTGTTGAATGGTATCTGTACGTAGATAATTAAGACAACAGAAGTGAATTATGTGTTATTGATTGGCTTTTGGAAACACTAGCATTGGCAGTATTAGCACTATTGGCATTGTCACTATTGGCATTGGCACTATTGGCATTGGCACTATTGGCATTGGCACTATTGGCATT